CCTGTAGATATCTTATGGTATTCGTCGTGCGATACCTTGTAGATATCTCTCAGAACTATTTATCCTGCTTTGAATACTAATCGTTTTTCTGTTTTTGGAACAGTTTTACCAAAAAATAAATGTTATACTTGTATTAACAATTTGCCTATGATACCAAATACTAACTAATTTCATTACGACGGGGATTGAAATTTGGAATGCAAATATTTATGCAGGACCCTTTTCAATTTGAATTGAAATATTCTCTGCGGAGCTCAATAATTTTTCAGAGATTTCCTAAGCTAATTTTAAAATCAACCCCTATACATCTCGTTATAATTGCTTCATCTTGATCCAGCTTTTCTTTTAGAAAATATTCGTTGATCACCAATTCTGTCCCTATCAAGTGTGTATTAAAATAAGTAAAAATTTAAAATGAGAAGTTTGAGTACCAACTGTTTCTCTATTTCTTTAAGAGGCATATACATATGATCATAATATTGGTATGATATGATGTATAAAAATTAGAGGATAGTAGTAAAGCCAATAGAATAATATTAGTTTGATAACAAATTAAGAAAGAGGTGTGCCTCATTACCAAAATTTAAAAAAATTACTGATTAATTTAGAAAAATTACACACACGAAGTCGTCAATTAACCACCATTTACTGCGAGGAAATAAAACTTATCTCCGTCATGTAATTAAGGCATTCTTAAACATGCAAGGCAAATTATAGAAATGAATACTAATTCAATTGTTCGACCGACACGTTTAGGCATGACGTGTGTAAAATTTAGACCGCTACATTTATTTCCAAAAGGTGAAATTAAAGCGAATTATATGGAAAGTTGTTAAATTAATTGTTATGTAATGCTAATGAGGTATTTTTATTTAAAAAATACTACGTTTAATTATTGGCGATAATTTCTTAGAAGGTTGTGATCCAACTTTATCTTGCAAAATGTTGCACTTTCTAACGTCACTAATGTTGTTATTGGTAATTTTGTTGTAATGACGAAATGGTGCAAGTGTAGCATGACTACCACAAGTAGAAATCAACTTTGTCGAAAATGCTTGATCTAATTTTGAAAATGAATGTTTTGAATGAACTCAAAAATTTGCTATATTGGACTAGTGGTTAAGATGCTCTATAAACCAAGGTACAATGTCATGTTTGACCACGGTGATTTTAACTCAGCTCCTCACTTTTTCGAAGTTTATTAAACGATTTCTGCCGGGTTTAAAAACACCCAACTGGATATGTTGTAATATCTAATTAAATTGATTAGTTAACCCATTATTATCAACATCATTGTATCCTACAACAGTTTAATTAGTAATATAATTACCGTATCTGTTCATTGGCCTGTCACACAAATCACATAATACCTACCCGTGGGTAGGTACAACTACTACTCCTAACGATTTTACTAGTTTTCGCTGTGGCTGCCAAAATTGGAAATTGGTCCACTTGCTGAGAGCCGATATTACTAAGTGCATTTAATTATGGACATGCTAGTCAAAACAGTTCAACGTTAGCTATAAATTGATTGGGAAATTATTCATTTATTTATTTGTGCATGTAATTGTTTAAATTCGATGTCAAGGTACGTCGAATGAATCTGCACCTGTGAACAATGTAGTTAACCGAATCATTTATTATTCATACCTTGAACTGTTTATTTAAATATTAACAAATTACCCTGATTAAGATCCGAGTTTATCTTTAATGTCGTTTGTTTGCGGAAAGAGTACTCTAATGAAGTGACTCTCATGACGTAAACCTGTGAATATATATGCTATAATGCAAAATGCATATCGTTTAATTTTGCTTGTACTCGTATGAGATTTTGTGCATTAGAGAGTTGCAACATTTTGAAGCGATTAAACCCAATTTATTTTTGCATATCTTGCATATTTTGATATTCTTCGCATTTACATT